GAGTCCTCTCACCACCCCTGCACCTCTGGCTGTACCCCAGTTATGCATAAATAAATAAATCTTTCTAAAAATAATGAGAGGGTTAGAAGATGGAGAGAGAGTAGTAGAAGTCAGGTCTTTGAGAAATGTGACTTTTTTTTTTTAAAGATTTATTTATTTGTGCATACAGAACTGGGGTACAGGCCAGAGGCTCAGGGGCGGTGAGAGGCTTCACCAGAGACAGAGTGGGGAACAGAACAGGCAGATCGAAGAAGTACACTGCTGAGGGGAGCAGCGGGCGGGCCAGGAGAGGTCTGCCACGCCATGCGGTTACCTCCGGGGCAGGCGGGAATCGAACCCATATGGAAGCGGCTTCAGATTCTCAGTGCTGTGCTTTAACCCGCTGCACCACCAGGGAGGGCCGAGAAATGTGACATTTTATCAGTGATTCCTCCCCTTATTTTAAAGATTATGTATTTATGCATACAGAACTAGGGTACAGGCCAGAGATGCGGGAAGTGAGAGGCTTCACCAGAGACAGAGTGGGGAGCAGAACAGGCAGATCAATGAGGTACACTGCTGAGGGCAGCAGTGGGGAGACAGGAGAGGTCTCCTGCTCCATGTGGGTCGCCTCAGGGGCCGGGGATCGAATGTGCACTGAAGCAGCTGCGGCCAGCTTGCAGTGCTCCTCCTTACCCGTTGCACCACCAGGAAGGACCCAGATCCCCTTTTTTGTTAAGAGCAATGGGAGGCTAGATGTTTTGAGACAGAAGGACTAGACTTTATCAACAACACCGATGACAGCACAAAAGGAATGTTGATCAGCCTGGGATAAAAGCAGCTGGGAGGCACAGCATTGTGACCAGTGGCCAAGTCACCCTTCAGCAAGACTCCGGTAATCTGAGGGTGGGAGAAGATTCACGCCCATTCCCCCACGATGAGCATCCTTCTGTGGCTGGTGAAAATGCTCATGTGATGTGATTGGTGCAGCGGTCAAAAATTTCTTGCTGTTGTTACGGTGGAAAATCATTTCAAAAGGATGCATATAAACATATGCTTTGGACATATTTTTACTTCAGTGTGTAAATATCCACTTGGCAGTCGTTGGATATAGGCACAAGATTCTCCTTGAGAATGAGTTCATAAGCAGTGATCTATTTAGCATAGACCACATTTGTAATGCTTCATCTCAAATCAAGTTTTAGATTCTTTGAAGTGGAGTTAGAACTAGACACATTTGAAGTACTCAGAGTACAAAATCCTGTTGAGTTTTCACAATTCCCCACCCCATCCCTCAGCTTGTATAGTTGTTTCACCCACACCTAATTTTTCAGCAGTTCCTTTAAAAAGAAAATGCGTCTTTTATCAAATTCTTTCAAAGCATTCAACCTCATTTTTTCTCTTTTCCTTCACACTTAACATTTCAGTGGTTTATGTAATGCCACTTGTATAACAAGGAGAACACACCCAGCAAAACAGGGCAATGAATGCCAGCAAGTGGTGTCAGCCCACAGCTGACCGGTGAGGGGACGGGTACGTGCTGAGCTAGCAGCAGGTATTCCGTGCCAGGCAGGCGACTCACGGGGACCAGGTGTGTCAGTTAGTCCTGGGAGATGTTTGCATAAAGTCACAGTTTGCCTTATAGATTTTACAGCAACAAGCCAAGTACAGTGGTGTGTGCTGCAGTATGAACCCAGCACGACATGGCTGGGAAACAGAGTGGTTAAGCCACATGAATGACGCCTGAGCGACAGTGGGAAGCCAGTGTCTCATAGCGGTGGTGGAGCCCCTCAAGGCCCAGTGAGAACAGCGTGTCCTGGTTGAGCATTACGCTGAGGGAGGTCAACCAGAGGCTTCTGGTTCTTAGTTTCTTCTAGCTCATAGCTGCTTCCTCTAGAGCAGTGCTTGTAAACATAATGCACTAACAAAACTGTGCCTGTATTTAATTACATGGCATTGTAAACAGATTACTTTTACAGACAGACTGTAAAAATATATTCAACAAATTGACCTCCTCGTTTTAGTGAAGATGGTTGCTTCCTAAAGTATTTTAATAAATTTGAATTTTACAAGTCAAGTGAAAGATCAGCTTATTTATGCTCAAAGTAAAAACTCAGGGAGAAGGTGGCTTTTTTTTTTT